TTTAAACTTTGGCATGATCGACTTTGTCACCCTGGCTCGATAATGATGAGAAGAATATTGAAAATTCTAATGGCCATCCATTAAAAAATCAGAGGATATTGCAAACACATTAATTGACATGTGTCTCATGTTCTCAAGGGAAATTGATAGTGAGACCATCACATACTAAAGTCGGACATGAATCACCATTATTTTTAGAAATGATTCATAGTGATATATGTGGACCTATTCATCCAGCTTGTGGTCCATTCAGATATTTTATGCTGTTGATTGATGCCTCTAGTAGATGGTATCACGTGAGTTTGTTATCAACTCGAAATGTAGCATTTGCTAAATTACTCGCCCAACCTATTAAATTAAGGGCTCAATTTCCAGATTATATTATCAAAATGGTCAGACTTGACAATGCTGAATCATTAATTAAACAGTTGCAGCTTATTGCTAGACCATTAATAATGAGGACAAAACTCTCCACTTCACTATTGGGACATGTTATTCTGCATGCAGATGATCTAATTCGAATAAGACCAAGTACATACCATACATACTCGCCATTACAATTGGCATATGGTCGAGAACCAAATATTGCACATATAAGAGTTTTTGGTTGTGCAATGTATGTACCAATTGCTCTACCCCAACGTACAAAATGGAGCGTCAAAGAAGGTTGAGAATATATGTTGGATATGAATCTCCATCAATAATCAAATACCTTGAGCCAAAAACAGGTGATGTTTTTATAGCTCGGTTTGATGATTGCCATTTTAATGAAGAATTATTTCCCCCCTTAGGTGGGAATGACGAATCAATTGAGAGATATATTGAATGGAGAACATCATCACTATCATATCTTGATCCTCCCACCAAACAAAGAGAGCAAGAAGTTCAAAAGATCATACATCTGCAGAATATTGCAAATCAATTGCCAGATGCATTTACTGATTTAAAAAGGGTGACAAAATCACACGTTGCAGCTGTGAATGCCCCTGCTCGAATTGAGATTCCAAAAGAAATGACAAATGATAATATGTCAAATGAGTCAAAGACATGCTTGAAACGAGGAAGACCAATTAAGTCTAAAGATAAGAATCCTCGAAAGAAAAGAGAAATTCATGACCCGAATTTGAAAAAGAATCAAGATGATGGAAAAATTTCTGGAAGAAATGAAAATATTGAAATTTTCATTAATTACGTAAATAATGGGAATCTTTGGAAGCGTGATGAGATCATAAATATTGATGATGCATTTGCATATATGGTATTCGAAAGAAATTGATAATGAAGTTAAGGATCCTGAACCAAAATCTGTAACTGAATGTCAGAAAATACATGATTGGGATAAGTGGAAAGGCGCCATCCAAGCCAAGTTAGATTCACTCAATAAACAAAAAGTTGTTGGGCTTCTTTCAATTACACCAAAAGGCATAAAACCTATTGGATACAAATGGGTTTTCATCAAAAAAAAGAAAGAAGAAAAATGAGATCACGAGATATAAAGCTCGCCTTGTAGCACAAGGATTCTCCCAAAGGCCTGGGATCGATTATGATGAAACATATTCCCCTGTCATGGATGCAATTACTTTTAGATACTTGATCAGTTTAGCTATCCATGGGAATCTTGAGATACGTCTCATACATGTTGTGACTGCTTACTTGTATGGATCATTAGACACCGACATATACATGAACTTCCCAGAAGGAATCAGAATGCTCGAAGCACTAAACTCCAAGCCTAAAGAGTTATGTGCGATAAAGCTGCAAAGGTCATTATATGGCTTGAAACAATCCGAACGTATGTGGTATATTTGTTTGAGTGAACAATTGCTTAAAAGGGGATACTTAAATGATCAAATATGTCTGTGTGTCTTTATAAAGAAATCACATGATGGAGTTGTGCTAATTGCTGTCTATGTTGATGATCTTAATATTATTGGGACAACAAATGAAATTCGAGAAGCAGTCACTTTTCTGAAAGGCGAATTTGAAATGAAAGATCTCGGAAAAACCAAATATTACCTCGGCTTACAGATAGAGAGAGTACAAAATGGGATATTTGTCCATCAATCTAATTATACTAAAAGAGTACTGAAATAATTCAATATGGACAAAGCTAATCCACTAAGTACTCCGATGGTTAACCGAACATTAAATGTTGAAAAGGATCCATTTTGACTTTGTGAAGAAAATGAAGAAATACTTGGTCTTGAGGTAGTATATATGAGTGCAATAGGAGCTCTTATGTATCTTGATAATTGCACCAGACCATATATATCTTTTGCTACCAACTTATTAGCAAGATATAACTCGTCACCTACGAGGAAACACTGTAATAAAATCAAGCATATATTCCGTTATCTCCAAGGACAACCGATCTGGGATTATTTTACTCAAATGATAAAAAAAATGAAATGATTGGTTTTGCAGATGCAGAATATTTATCAGACCCACATAAGGCGAGATCTCAAACTGGCCACATCTTCACAATTGGTGGAACTGCATTTTTCTGGCGTTCTCAGAAACAAACACTAATTGCTACATCTTCAAACCATGCTGAAATCATTGCACTTCATGAAACAACTAGGGAAAGCATCTGGCTCAGAAACATGACTCAACACATTCAACAAGCCAGTGGATTATTAAACAATAAAGACCCCACGGTGATATTTGAAGACAATGCAGCATGTGTCGCTCAAACCAAAGAAGGATACATTAAGAGTGACAGAACTAACATATCCAACCAAAGTTCTTCTTGTACACTCAAGAGCTGGAAAGGAACAAACAGATCAAGATTCAATACATCCGATCAAGTGATAATGCAACAGATTTATTTACAAAAGCACTCCCAATTACAACATTCCGAAAGCACGTCCATAACATTGGAATGAGACATCTTCGAGATTTGCACAGATGATAACTCGAGGGGGAGCATGTGCGGCTGTACTCTTTTTTCCTTATCTCCGTTTTTTCCCACGGGGTTTTTCCAGATAAGGTATTTAATGAGGCAGCATAAATGCACATTGCTTAGTGGTAATTCCAAGTGGGAGTGTTATAAACAAGTGGAATGAACCACTATGCTTAAATAGTGACATTTCACTATTTAGAGAAATGGGAATAGTAGATGGTGTATGGGATATGAATAATTTCTGTGGAAAGTGTCGGTAGAATTTGCCTTAAAAGGCAATGCAAATATAGTGAAAGAGTACGCATTTTTCAGAAGAAAAAAGAAAGATATTGAGTATAATTTATATCCATTTTCTATATTGTGTTCTTTATCTTTCCGTTTTGACAACAGGGAGCATTTAATGCGTACTTTTTTTTGAAAACTTTTTAAATATATGCATTAATTGCTTCAATATACACGTTTTCAAATAAGATCAAATCAGATATGATAAATATTGTTTCCTTGAATAATTTTATTAATATCTGCAATAATTTTATTGATATCCATTATAATAAATTACAAGATTGATTTTTCGTGATTCATGTTGATAATATTTTGGTCAAGATAAATATTACAACATATTTTAAGTTCTAACCATAATTTTAATTTTTTTCAACAAATATTCACTTTTTATCAAAAAATATTTATTGAAATTCGTAACAGGTTAAGTAGAATTTTTTCTTCTAATTAATCAGGGAAAATCAAGTTGGACAATTCATCTTTGCTAATATAATTTTTTCTTAATCTTTATTTCGTTATATATAAAAAATAAATTATTCTTCAAATTACTACAATTTACCATTTAAGAGATAATGACCAGACTAAACAATTTTATTAATGGTCAAAAATTAAAATTAAATATATGAACTGTTTTTCAGAATTTATATGTATATTATTGACAACCATGATTATTTATTTTTATCATTTTTTTATTTTGATTTCTTTCTATAATGAAATTCTGGTAAAATATATTTTCATTGTAAAGTATGTTGAATAAACTATAAATCCTTAGAGTAATGCTATAGGTACATAATAATGTACATAGAGGTGTATATAACACTCACATTGAGTGGGTCCTACCAAAAATAAAAAATTAAGTGGACCCCACTCCATGTGAGTGTTATGTACACCTCTGAATACATTTATTAGGTACTTGTAGCATTTTTCAAATCCTTATAATAGAAAGGATTGAGTTTTTGGCATTTGCTAATTCAAAGTTGTTTAATTAGTATACAAAATTAAATTCTAAAAAAGCATATGTGTATAGTTTTGTATAATATTTATACAATGTTTAATTTTAAATTTATTTACATATTTTAAATTGATTAAATGAATAAATAATACTAACATGCATTAAATACTTTTCAGCGACCAAAGGGGGAACCCCACATTTCAGAGTATGGATTCCACTATATAGGCAGAAATTACTTCTTCATACCAAGCCTTTACATAAAACAAGAAGAAGACGTACAACTTCTATAAATTTTATAAATAATAATGACATTATATGGCTACAAAGTTTATAATAAAATAATAATAAAGTATTATATGGTGAACAAAAATAAGTAAAACAATTGTTTTCTCTTATACAAAGGAATAAATATATATACTAAAATCAAATTTATATCAGTATAAATATATTAGTGAGGTAATTTAATTATTTTACAAGCTAGACCTAACATATTCATATTTAATGTTCTGACTACAAAAAAACACTGATTAAAAGATGTGAAAAATAGATTATAACCTTATTGTTTTTTAGACTTAACGTTGATTAAAAGATGTAGAAAATAGATGATAACCATATTTTAATGTTATGGCTACAAAAATTTTTTTAAAAAAATACTGATTAAAGATGTGAAAAATAGATTATAACTCTATTGTTTTTTAAACTTTGATTGAAAGATATAGAAAATAAATAATAACCATGTTACTCATAGCTTGTGAAAATAATTTATTTAATATATCTGTATTTAATAAACAAGCATACCCTTACAAAGCAAGATTTTTCAAATTTGATATATACAATATATATTTCTTTCAGACTTTCTGTACCCCATTGGCCACTGCCGTTTTCGCAATTGCTCTGCAGAACAAGAATTGTGTAGAGAACACGAAAGAAAATGGAAAGAGGAGAAAGCTCCGGCTCCCATTCCACCAGAGTTGTCATTTGGGCTAAACTAGGTAAATTTGTAGCGGCAAAAAGAAAAATGCAAAACAAAAAAGGAAGGAAAAGAATTGTTCTTAATTTTCTTTAGCGAATATGACTATCGTTATTTCTTCTGCTTCCTTATGTGACAAAATGCAGTGTTCAATTGCCTGGGGACTACCTCTTTGTTTTTGTTTCTCTCTCTCCCTTTATTTGCATATTCTTTTTCATTTTGGGTTCTGGGTTTTCTGTCGAATGTCTTCGTTTCTTGCAAATGTGGAGATGTTCCCTGGGTACCTTCAGAATTTGATGATGCATGAGTTTTGTGTAATGTGACCTGTTTTTTATCTCTGATGATCTCAGCGTTAAAAGATATTTTACATCCCTCTAAGTGGAGATGAAATGAGGAAGAATTATAATAAAGAAAAGCTACCCTAAAATGATTAAAAAAAAGTTTTATGAATACCTGAAATAAGTAATTTTGTGAATTTCTTTGGTGTGTTCATTCCGAGTCCTTTTGATTCAAAGTTCACATCTTTAGGGTCCCAAAAGTATTGGGACTCTCTCCTTGCATGTCCTCTTTTGGAACATTGGCCTGAGTTGTGACCTGGCCCTGCCTATCATTATTACTTTATAGTCTGGATTAGTTAATCATTGTGATATTTATAGCCGTAATTTAGATGTCACTACCATTTTTATGCAGTGCCACTGAATTCGAGCTATTTGGACATAGAGTTGAGGTCAACTGAGGTGGTAGTCTGCTCGGAGATAAAGAGTTCTTTTAGTGAAAAGCAAGAATGGTGCAAGATAACTAGGGAAAAGGATCAAAATTCGGCCTTAATGCAGAACAAAAGGTACATGAATTGTGTGATGTATGTTGCTTGATTTAGTAGTTCAGAAATGTCTGTCTCCTAGCACTTCAAGATTTCATCTTGTTTAACTGTGTGCAAATTTTCTCCGGATGGTACTGTGACATGTTAGACAAGGATGCACACACATTCTTTCTGGGTGTCGTTTTTATTTGCAATTGCATGTAGGCTATAGTTCTTCTTTGGTGGTCAGATTGCGTTTAATTATTCCATTTCAAGATCTGATCAGAGAATGATTGATGTGAGAACTCTTATGATGAAGTCATCACAACTTTTCGAGTTCAAATGGAAAATGCTACATTCGCAAGTTATGCAACTTCCTGATGCTCTGTGCATTAGTGCGTTGTGGCATGTCAATGTTTGTTGCATTTGTATTGTTTTCATGTTAGAATAGTATCCTTGATTTGCTTCTGCAGTGTCCTTTTACAAGTTTTTACAGACTACAATGGTTATGGTTATATTTGGTGGAACTGTTTGTTATGTTATGGTTTTGGTAATTGTCATTTTGTCCATAATTTCAAGTTCAAGTCCTTGACACGTGCTATTTCAAAAACTAGTTCTGATCCAATCCTTGTTGATGGTTCGGTTGTTCACAAAGATGATACGGCCATCATAAGATGTGGCAGTGAAATTATCCTGGGTCCTGAGGCTGATGGTAAGCATCCCTAATTACTGCTAATTTATTTTCTGTTAATCTGCATTTCTGATCTTGTAATAATTGTATATGGACTATGGTTGAGTTGGATGCTTCTAGCCTCCACCATTTCATGTTATGGCTACCTCTGTCCATGAAAATAAATAACGCATCTTTAAATCTTTAGTGATGAAACTTCCTTATGTTTAAGATCTGCCAGAATGAGACTGACCATACTGGCAGTTGTATGAGAAATGGGAACAGAAGCATTAGAAAGATATTAAGAGCTTACTTGGTCCAGAATTCTAGAAATTTCTGCAAAATGTAAATTTCACTGTTTATTTCCCTGCAAGCACAATTACTTCTAATCCACCTTTTGTCTTTGAGGGAAGCTCTATTAGAGATAGAATTCTTTCTTGAATAACATCTTATTTTAAGAAGCATTACCTTTCCGTAAGCTTTGTGGCTATGGAAACTGATGAAACTTGCAGTAAACCAATGCTATTACGGCACATGCTCACCGTTCATTTAAATTGATTTTTATAATGATTGCAATTTGTTAACACTCAACAATGATCTATGCAATAAAGTTTTATTATCATTTGAAAAGGTTTTTCCTTTCTATATTAACGTATAATACATATTCATCAAATGTAGACTAGTGTTTTCAAACAGCTCCTTTAAATTAGTATGATCGGGTACTGACAACATTAACTTCAGTGCATTCATAAAGTAGTCCTTTTGGTTCCTAATTATGATGAAGAATCTAAATTCAGACCCATATCAACTGGAAGAAAGTGCTTGCTCAAGTTTAAGCAAGACTGTGTCTTTATCGATTGAAATTGCCCATGTTTGCAAGTTATAACATGACCAATATTCCATGCATATTGTTGAAACACTGGTGGTCATGCTGCTTCACTAGTAATGCTGAAGATTTTTGTAGAATAAGACAATTGTTTGTTTCATGTCATGGTAAACTGGTTGAATGTATATGTGGTCTCTTTGCCAATTTGTCATCTTGTCTGAGAAAGAATGTGGAAAGTACCACTGACTGAATTTAACCTTTTCTCCAAAGCTCCGAAGGCCACATATTAATTAACAACATTAATTTGTGTCTGGGGCCATCAGCAAGAAGTTTTAACATAAACAGAATTGCTGCCTTGGAAATTCCATACGTTATTACGTTAAACTGTAATTTATCTTGTAACACACGGAAAAAATCACCTCTTTTTATGTTATCAGGATTTATGAGGTATATGTTTAAAGTAATGCCTAAGGAGGAGCCTTCCCAGAAGCAACTGAAGGTAGACAGCAGCTAAAGCCGTGCCTGATTATTGTCGTATGAATGTTAGTAATATTTGTTTCTGTTTCTAGTAATGGAAAAATGTCAACTAATTT